GATGTACTGACATGAATAGAGAGCTGGTTGGCACATGGGATAAAAAAGACTGGCAATAAATGGGTCTTTCTTAGAAGAGTCAGGCAGTGACTAGTAGGATAGTGCAGGGATCAGTGCTTGGACCTCAGCAATTCAATATGTTACAATATGTTGCAAAGTTGGGATAGTAATTGTAGATTGGAAGGCAGGATGTTAGAATTTAATTGTAGAATGACAGGGGGACTAGTCCGTGGTCCCTTTAAAAAGTGTGTTTTTCTAGGCTTGGAGATTAGAAGATGTCTGTAGGCAGCAGCACATGCACAGAGCGTTATTGAAATTGAAACATTGTAGCAAAAAACTATATTGTTAACATGCAAAACAGCATTTTTACCAAGGCAATGGGTTTTTGAACTTTGCCAATTGATTTAAACCAGGCCCTAAATACCAAAGCCCAATTACATTTAAATCTGATGATTTTGACAACCTTGGACCACTCCTATTCTAAAAAATTAATAGGCCATTAAAGGTATACAAGAAGAGGGCATTTGAAAATTGGTGTGACAGCAAACTGCCATCTGTTAAGAAAGCAGCTCTCAATAGCCATCAGCTCTAAAGAAAGAGAAAATCACTGGCTCTCACAGAAGTTTCTACGCTTTTAGAGTATGTACCATCTAAATAAAGATCCTACAGCACTCATTAGCTATTATTCCTGACAAAGAATTCAACAGTGGAAGGTATTCCTGAAGTGAGGACAGAGAAGGCAAAGAACATTCCAGAAGACTTACCATGGTTGCAATTTCAAGATATTAAGCTTTAATTTTTTTTATTAATTTGGTTTATGTAAGTGGTACTCATATCTATTGGAACAGCATACCAATAGAATTTTGTTTTATTTGGGAATAGTTAGTAGTTAAGGGGGAATTGTTTGGTTTGTTAGTAGTTCTGTTAATTTTTTCACTGTTACAGTTAGATAAATAATTTGTTACTTGTGGATTATAGCATGACTGTCAGGAGTTCACTTCATTTAACCTCTCCTTTATAACAGTTTGGGGAGGGTAAGAGGCAGATTATACCACTTCTTACACTTCCTTTAACAGATTATGAAGTGAGGCGAGCTTCTCTGGGTGTTTTGGTTTTAGTTATCAGAGTGGGCTCAACCTCCACTTTGTAACAAATACAAAATGTTACTCATGTAGAAGACAGAACCAAATGTAATAACTCCAAGTTTTTGGATGACCAAAGCTTTATGGAAGGATGAGTTGTGAGAAGGATGCACAGATGTGTCAATGTGATTTGGGCAAGTTGAATGAGTGGCCAAATGCATGGCAGATAAATATAATGTGGATAACTATGAGGTAAGAGATAAATGTTAGAGAAATGTGGAAAAGGGGAGGTGCGACAAGACATGGGTGTTCTTATACACCAGTCACTGAAAGTAAGCATGCTGGTGTTGGAGGGCAAATGGTACGTTGGCCTTTATAGCAACTGTAAGTAATCTATTAGCTAGAATAAGGTGAGATCTTAAGAGAAATTTCTGATTTATTTTAATCCTTGTATCATTTGTAATTTCTCTATTTTTGGTTTAAATATCTGCTTCCTGTGATTTTCATCAGTAATTTGTTTGTGTGTTAATGAATACTATACAGAATGGTTCCTGGACATGTAACTCCCTAAGAAACTCCTTATTGATCACCTCTATCCTTAGCCATTCACTACAATCCATAGACCTTGCTCCCCCAATTTAATCTCTTCCATTATTTACATTCTCCTAGCTCAAATAGTGGGTTCATTTTAGCTCCAAAGATGAGGGGACTGATTTTTAAACAGCTATTATCCATTCACCTCCTGTGCAAGCTTTTTGATTTGTTCAGGGAGTGCTGTATTTTTCACAAATTCCCAGAATCCTCTGGACAGCCAGATTACACTTTTCTGCTGGCCTGCTCAGTTACTGAAACTTTGTCATTACATCACATCTCTGTTACTGTTAACTGCTGAGCCAGTGACTGTCCTGTTGACCTAGCATTCAGCTTCTGCTACCGTCTAGCTCCTGACTGAAGAATATTTCAATATCACTACAAGATTTTAGATGACCTCTATCTTTGCTATTGTTTTTCTGCACCATAACTGATTCTACACAGAAATAACTTTCATTGTTGTGCCTGCAGATACTCTACATTTTAAATACCTCAAAACTCTCATCAATCATACTCTTCACCAAACCTGGACATTAGTTTGTTGATGCTCCGACTCATTCCAACACTCTCTCTCTGTGGCCTTTTGCTTAACTTTCTTTTTGTGCAGCAAATGTTGAATCATATGAAAATAAGAGAACCATCATTAGCTCCAAATTGCATTTTAAGTCAGGTTCTATTTAAAAGTGACCCTCAGCAACTTCATCCTATGTTTTTCCCAGGCCCCTTTTGCTACTGTCACTTACCATCCTCCATTCCCATCACCATCCCAGTGTTTTTCACTTCCCTTTAATCCTTCACTAAATCCAATTGCTGTTCCAAGGGGCAGTTGATGAGAACCAGAGGGTCCCTTAGTCTCATACTATTCACATACTACCTTTTTCTGATATCATCACTTCCGAAACATACTTCAGCCAGAAGTGAATCTTTAGTCATGAATCAAGCTGTAACTGAGGCTGTAAGGTAGCACCAACAGGATAGTCACAGGCTCAGTCACTGGAAGTAAGCCTGCAATGGAGCAGATGGTGAAGGTATGAAGACGTTCATAGCAAGAGGATTCAAGTACAAGGGAGCTCTTGGTGGTGATGGTGCCCCGTGTGGGGACTCCTGGTGCCTGGACTCTTGGTGATGTTAGATGGCAGTCGACCCAGGGTCTCCTGGGGCATTGGCATCATCGTTGCTGTTCCTGGAGTGGAACTCCATGCAGAAGCCCTGGAGCAGTTCTTGAGACTCAATTTGAACAGATGAACTCTTATTTAAATAATTTCTTTTTGTAACTCAAAATGGTGCTGGATTGTGGCGACAAAACACTTTTTACTGTATCTTCAAGATATATGCGGCAATAAATAAATCATTCATCATTCAGGAGCTTGTTGCAATTGCACAGGGCTTGGTGAGGCACCTGCAGTATTGTGTGCAGTTTTGCAATGTTTTGGCAATTCAGGGAGTACAACAAAGATTTAACAGACTTATTCTTAGCAGGACTGACATGCAAAAAAGGACTGAAGTCATTAGGACCTTGTTAACTGGAGTTTAGAAGACAGGGGATCTCATAGAAACCTATAAAACTCAAACAGGACCAGATAGAGTAAACAGAGGAAGGGTGTTTCCGATGACCAAAGAGTCCAGAACCTGGAGTTGGCCATTTAGGATTAAGACGAGAAGAAATTTATTCACCACAGAAAGTGGTTGAAGTCCAAACATTGAATATTTACAAGCAGAAGTTAGTTATAGTTCTTTGCGCTGAAGGGATCATTGGTTATGGAAAGCCAGAGCAGGGTACTGAATTGGATGTTCAGGCATGATCATACTGAATGGTAAAGCAGGCTTGAAGGGCTGAATGGCCTACTCATACTCCTAGTTTCTGTTTGTACTTACCCAAACAGCTGGTGCATGCAAAACTCAAAACAGTGACATTAGATATAATTTCATGATTGGACAACATTTGGTAAGAATTATGTTGACAACCAATGACTGGCAGATTGGCTTATAGTGTGGCACATTTGAGCATACTCAAAATAGTATACGTTAATACATAAGGCCGTGTTTGCAGACGAAGAATCATAGACAGAGACTATCTATTTCAACTTTACAAAATAGACACTAGCCATTCTCTGATTCATTCCTCAGGACCATGCCCTCACTGCCTGGCTTCAATTTAAACAAGTTTGGCGGTTAACTGTCATTTATCAACAAACTGATGCTCATGTTGATGCTTCTACCAATCATTTTCCACCTGCCAACCAATCAGCACTCTCATTCAGGAAATAATGTTGCTCGCTATCACACTGACATTCTGAAAATGTCTTGGTAAGTGCAAACTGAAAAGCTTTGACAAAGCATTTCTTTTATCAACAATACTAAAATATACTGGCTAAATTCACAGCTGGAAATGCATGTTAGATTAAATGAGTGAAGATTTCCTTTCCAACTGAATTTAATCTCTTATCTTGCTCAAAATTACAGGCTAAATTATGTGAGATGTCAGATTTCCCATCTTGGCTATAAGGTTGAGGTGGGCTGGAGTGTGTCCTAGCCTGCAGCTATTTACTGGCCCATTTGTCAATATAAAGGCTGCAGGCAGGACATCTGCTCTTCTGGATTAGGATGTCATTGGTTCAGATAAAAACCAAAAGAACTGCTGGAAATCAGAAACAAAAACAGAAATTGCTGGAAACGCTCAGCAAGTCTGGCAGCATTTGTGGAGAGAAATTAAGAGTGAACATTGCCATTCCTCAGACATGGTTCAGATAGCTAGTGGTAGCTCTTCAACACTTTGAGATAGAGGCATGTGGTGTTGGAACAGGAAATGGTTCTGTGGTCAGGAGTCTTGCCAGGTGCCACGATCTGAGAAGACTTTGGCACTAAGGTTTCAGAGGCCTATGGAGAAGTAGAAGGTGGAGAGGTTATTGGGGTGAGCCCTCAAATGGACTCTGTGTTCCATAAAACAGAGATCGACCTGTGCCTGCCGTGAGCTCACAGATCATAGCTGTTGGTTTGGCCATTTGGTAAGTGCCTCTTTCCCTGTCAGCACAATCCCTGCTTTAATTGTTTACTTAAGAACCTCGACTGACTCACTGGCGGACAGACCACCTGATAACACCTCCACTTCTCCCATAACTGCAGAGGAGGTAGGCTGCAAACTGGCTTTAACAAAACCCCTTACCTTCAAGCTTGTTGGTGGGAGAATGTAAAATTCTGCCCCATGTGCAAGCCTATTAGTCTGTGTTTTGTTAAGAAATGTTCACAGATTGTTCTTCAAGAATTTCCATTCATAATAAACAAAGAAATAATTTGGAGGGAGATTAACTGTATGGAGATCAGGTCTTATTCACTTTGCCATTCTGATGTTTATTTAAGCAAGTGAAATGTTACATGTGATGTAACTGAATCATTTCAGCAGGCAATAAGATAGTCATTTGCTTCATTGATGCCTTGTGATTGCAAGTTTTACGAAATCCTGCTGATGCAACTGAAAGTGAAAAGAAAAAAATTGCTTCATGTTATTAATTTTTCACTTTGGCAAGGAATAAGTGCTTATTTAAGTAAAATTGCACATACATTACCCATCATAGGTTCTTTTACTCCCTCTGTCCTAGTGTACTGTGTGAGACAATAACGGACTCTCACACTGGTAATAGACTAAAACAGAAAAAAAAATCAAATAAGTTATTATTTCAAGACCTATCATGCAACTCATGTCTGTTAACAAATTCTGTGCAATTCAAATTAATCTATAGCCTTCGTTAGCATTACCAACACCAGCAGTTACATTTTATTCTACATAATATTAAATGGTTCAAAGAAACGTTAAGATGCAAACCAAACACAAGTAATTACTAAACCATATTTTGATGAGATGTTAAACTGAGATCTCTTCATTTAACACAATCCATAGATGTTATCCTACATCTTCCTTGCAAGGCTCAAGGATACAATATTAGTGTGTGCATACGCTCATTACTCTTCCTTATCCCAAAAGTACTCTTTCAGAGAGATAAGAAATGAATTTACAACGCACACTTTAGAAACTCAAAAAAGAATTAAGCACCAAATTGATCTTTTGTTTATTCATCCACAGGTGTGGGCAACACTGGCTAGGCCAGCATTTTTTGCCCATTCCTAATTGCCCAGAGGGCAGTTGAGAGTCAATCACTTTGCTGTGGGTCTGGAGACACGTTAGCCAGACCAGGTAAGGGTAACAGTTTCTTTCCCTAAAGGACATTAATGAACCAGATGAGTTTTTACCACAATGGTCACGGTCATCATTGGACTCTTCATTCCAGATTATTATTGAATTCAAATTCCACCATAGCCATTCAAACAAATTTTTCCCTGATGGAGTCACTGTGCCCACAGAGTTAACATCTTAGAATATGAATGCCAGCACTGAACTATGCTGAGAAGGTTGCAATACTGGTGACACTGGGCAGAATCTTCCATTACAGAGTCTGTTGTGTATGTTTGTGATTGCTGCTTCATTTCTTTGTGCCTGTTATATTTGCTCAAACTACTGAGCTGAACTTATGGCATAAAGACAGACCGGAAGTTCTCATCCCTGTTACAAAATTTTAGGGTCAAAGATTGCAATACTATATTAAAAAGCACCAGACAGTCCTTTATTCAGTATAAGACTGTAGCATCAATGAAGGCAGCGTTGGTCATCCCCACCCAGTTCCACAGATCTTTCACGGGAGACAAAACTGATCCCAGGGTTCAGCAATGCTTTGTTAGAAGTTCTGGTTCAGAGTAATGAAGGGAGGTTCTCTTGCCCAGCGATGGGAGCAGGAGACTTTGCAATCAGCCAAAGGCAACCTGGACTGAGGTCATAGCACAGGTCAATGCTCATGCACAGAAGAATTCAAATCCAACTCAGGAAGGTGTTGAACAACCATTTGCATTCCTCAAAGCTAAGTGGCACAGTTTGCCCAAAGCATTCAGTCTAACTGTTCCTGTGCAGCAGTATGTCACATAGGAAAATAATCACATATAGGCAAGAGATCAGGACGTGGTGTGGTTATGCATACTTGTAAGTTTCTGACACACCCATTGCCATTATACTCAATCCTTCCCTTCATGGGACAAGATTGCCCATATCAAGAAGGACTCAATTCAGACTTGTAGAGGGTTGTTAGATATTCATACCTTCATTTCTATGTCTGTAAATGTGACTCCTCACACGCCACTAGGTTATAGTTTAATAGGTTTATTTGAAATCACAAGCTTTCGGAGCGCCGCTGCTTCGTCAAGTGAAGTGCTGTGACAAAGGAGCAGTGCTCCAAAAGCTTGTGATTTCAAATAAACCTTTTGCACTATAGCCTGGTGTTGTGTGATTTCTGACCTTGTCCAACCCAGTCCTACACCGACACTTCCACATCATCCCTGATGCCAGGGTCAAGGATGTCAAACAACAACTGAGGCTATTATTTGGGAGGAGAGTGAATAACTGAGGTTACAGTCCACGTTGTTACCATGACTTGGGTACGGCGGGAGTGAGGTTCTGAAAACAGAAGATTCAGGAAGAAGACAGTAAGCAAGTGATGAAGAAACTAAAGTTACTTGGTGTGTGTTTGTTGAAGAAGTTACAGAAAATTTCTCAAAATTCTAGGTGACTATGCAAGGAGTCTTGAAGAGGACTTGGACAAGCTGAGTGAACGGGCTCAAATGTGGCAGAAGAAAACAACGAAGAAGGGTCCAGACCCGAAATGTCAACTTTGATGCTGCCTGGCTTCCTGTGTTCATCCAACTCTACACCTTGTTACCTCAGACTCCAGCATCGGCAGTTCCTACTATCTCAAAATGTTAGGTCATATACTTTTGCAGAAAAACAGAATACTTCTTTAATGTTGGGAGTTTGGGAAGTACAGCAAGTTCGCTTGAAGCCAATTGCACCTTCCTCATAACTTACGTTTCCACCCAATTTGGTGTTGTCAGCAAATCTGGAAATAGTACAATTGGTCCCCGCATCACTTCCACAGTTGATGGAAGATCCTGCTGGCCCTGTGAAGATGATGAGCCTCTATTCTCAGCCATAATTGGCATCCTATAACTGCAGAGAGTGGCAGGATAACATCAGGCAGAAATGCTTGGGGCCGTCAGTGGTCTACAGCAGAAGATGGAGTATACCGTCCAAGTTTTGTTTACTGTCATTACTCTAACATGCAAGCACCTGGCTGCCTCAATACAAAGGATGGTACCTGCTTCAGAGACCAAGGTCCAGGGGATTGCCCAGCGGCTGCCGGATAGACACCTGGACCTACATTTCATCACTGGACAGCATCAATGACAAGACACTGGGATGAGACACCAAAATCTCCCTCCATGTGTCCCTGTCCCTGAGGAGATGGGAAGCATGATAGGGCATGTGAAAGGAAGAGGTGCACCAGGCAGTTGTCCAAAGGGAATTCATCTCTGGACACTGAGATTCCCTGCCCCTCCACCTTCCCTTTGGTAATGACCTTGTAATCTCCAGCAGGTCAGGTCAAAGAGGGTGCCTCTGCATCTCTACAGGAGACACTCAGCAGGCCGAGGTGCTCAATGCCCAGATACCCCAAGAATGGCCACCGAGGTTATCATAGCAGGCCACAGCAGTCACCTGGTTGTCTCTACGTTATCTAACTGATCACAGTATCAACATAATGAAGGTAATAAAGATTCTTCATTTAATGCAGCAGAATAAAATGAGACAGTACTCCATCAATGAGCTGTGCCCCAAAGAGGAAGCTGTGGGCTTCTAGTGAGCTGGTTTCAAAAAAACTGTCAACATAAACACAAACCCGTATCAGGAGCACATTCACCCGTTCGCAATAAGATTTCCACAGGCCTGCCTGACACTTTGGACCATTGCCATACTGATCTCTTATTTGAATATGCTCAAACACTGAGCACCCACAGTCATCGTGGGTAGAGAATTCCAGGGATTTGAAAGTCTTTGGATAAGTCTTTTTCTGTCCTAAATGTCCAACTCCTTATACTGAGATTGTGATCCATCATTCCTGGACATCCAGCAGAGAAACATCTTCCCAATGGCTACCTTTCAAGCTTTTAAGAATTTCATTTTTCAATGAGATCACTTTTTACTCTTCTGAACTGTATAGAATAAGTATGGAGTCTACTTAATTTCTCGTTTGGGAAAATCTCTTAATCCCCGGAATCAGTCCGGTGAAACATTACTGCAGTCCCTCTCAGGAAAGTGTACTATTCCTTTGATAAGGAGGTCAAAATTGTATAAAATACTCCAGGTGCGGTCTTAACATGATCTGCATGATTATATAAAGACTTCTTTATTCTTACACTCCAATCCTACTGTTATAAAGGCTAACACACCATTTGGTTTGCTGATTGTTTGCACAGATATTTCTCTCTGTATCTTCCTGCTTAAAAAAAACATTGAGTTTCTAAAGCCTGTAAATTCTCAAATTTTTCCAGTTCTGACAACAGGTTGTCAATTTGAAAATTTATCAGTTTTTTTTTCGCAACAGTTGCTCAATCTGCTTAGCATTTTCAGAATGTTCTTTTACTTCAAGAACCCTTCCTTTACGTTCACTGAGACAACAGACACGAGCTTCAGTTTAACATCTCACCTGAAAGACAGCACCACTAACAGTGCGGCACTCATTCAGTACTACATTAAATTGTCAGCATTGATTATAAACTCAAGTCCTTAAGCAACAACGAAATACATCATGGGATGAAGCTGTTGGGAGTGCAGTTGCTGATTAAAGCAGAGCAACACTCCAGTGCTTCAGTTCAGATCGCTGCATATATAATAAATGCAAGTTACAACGTAAACAGGGCTATCTGCCTTGTGGTATTATTTTAGTCTTGAAATAAATTAGTCCTTAAATTATTACCTTTCCATCTAGCTGCTTTAGAAGTCCAATGGAATCCCTTGTTTTATGTGTATCTTGTCATTAAAAGATTTCATCTCTAAGAATTTCATGTGCTGCGTTGCAGCAGGTTGCAATTCTGCCAATGCTCTTTAGTAATATCTGTCTCATAACTTTCAATGTGCTTTACTGTCTCAAATAAACTAAACCATAGAGTTAATCAATCTCTGATGAGTGATTATTAGATTATTAGTATTAACGTAACATGGTGCCAATGGTGGAAATGTTGTTTAAGGCTTTGCATCAACCAACAGGGTAAAGAATTCATGTAAAGTCTGAAGAGGATCAGCACAGAAAATATTGCAGAGTGGTGAGGTTGACTTTTATGAAACACGTCTTTAATAAAACAGCAGGCAAGACATCTCCAAATAAAAGAAAATCATTTAAATAAGTCAGCACAGGCTGTGGAGATGATAAACATCTCTGTGACTGAGGCTTGAAGCAGCAAGAACCAGAGAAAAATTACTAGAAAAAGCCAGTAGGGACTAAACAAAGCCATAGCTTAGAAAATTTCAGAACCATCTTGAGGTGTAAACTGAAATTGAGGAGTTGAGATTATAAAGTAAACACTCTAAGGAAAAAAAGGCAGAAATCATGATAGCACAGTAATAACTGGGAAGCTGGAATGAGAGAAACTAGAGGCACTAAACAGACATTGCTGAAGTCGGGAATGAAGCAATAGCTGTAAGCTGCAAAGTTTAATAAAGTATTTTAAATACTTTAAGTATTATAAATGAGCCTGCAAGACAGGCAGGTAAAAATATTGATGCCTTAAAAAAACTTTTATAACTTTTTTAAAACGAAAATTAAAAATCCCACAATTTACCACGTTTGAACCAGGAAAAGTTGAAAACTGCCTTGGAAAGAAGGCTAACTGCTGCAAACCCTCCATTTTGTTTCAAGTGAAAGAGAAATGATAAAATATATTTTGCTGATGTTTTCACAAGATTGGGAAGATTCAAACTCTTCATAAACATTTAAAACAGAATCAAGAAATTTATTTCAAAAGTATGAAATCAAATTAACATAATAGGAGATTTGAATCTACATATTAACTAGAAAGGTTATAAGGTCAAAGGTGGCCTAGATGAGGAGTTCATACAATAATTTCAGGATAGTTTCCTAAAACAACATATTCTGGAGCCAACCAGAGAACAGATTATACTAGATCACACATTGTTCAATGAAATTGATTAAATCAGATTGATTAATGATCTCCGAGTGAAGATGCTCATAGGTTGCAGCAAACATATGTTCGAATTTTACCTTCAGTTTGAGAAGGCAAAAGTTGCTCCAATTCTTTCTTAAATACAGCGGCCTTGAGGATATGAAAACAGAACTGGCTAAAATGAATTGGAAAATTAGGCTAAAGAATAGATCAACGGAGAAGTAGGAGCAGACATTTAAGGGGATATTTCAGAATACATAGAATACATTCTATCACTAAGAAAAATTCCTAGGGATGGACCTATCATCTGTGGTTAATTAAAAATCTTAGAGATAATATTGAACTAAAGAAAAGTACATAATTGTGAAAAGACAGGTGGCTGATCAAAAGATTAGACAGAATATAAAAGCATAGAAGAACCTAAATAATTAATAAAGAAGGGAAAATTAAAGTACAAGAGAAAACTAGCAAGAAATATAAAAATCAGATAGTAAAAGTTTCTATAAATATTTAAAGAGTTAACAAAATAAGTATTGGTCCTATAGAAAGTGAAACTGGAGAATTAATAATGGGAAATGATGAAATGGCAGATGAATGTAACAGTCTTTTGCATCTGTCTTTACTATAGAGGACACAAGTAACATCCCAGAAGCAGCTATAAATCAGGAATTGGAAGGGAAGCAGGAAGTCATGAAAGTTGTAATTACCAGCGAAGTGGGACTGAGTAAAGTGCTGGAGCTGTTAACTGACAAGTGTCTAGGTCCTGATGGACTTCATGTTAGAGTCTAGATTGATTCCTGAGGTTTGTCTTATGAAGACAGAACGAGCAGTTTAAGTAAACTCCCTGGAGTTTATAAAAATGAGAGGAGACCTACTTCAGGTATATAAGAATATAAAAGGGGAATGACAAAGTAAATACAGAACAGACATATCCCCATGTGGGGCAATCTAGAATGAGAGGTCATATTTTAAGCTAAAGGAAGCAGATTTTAAAAAGTGCTGAGGAGGAATTACTTCTCTCAAAGAGCCGTGAATCTGTGGAATTCACTCCCCCAGAGTACAGTGGATGCTGGGACACTGAGTAAATTTAAGGAGGTATGATATTATAAAGTTCAGAACTTTAATTATGGTTCATAGATTGAAAGGGACAAGGACAAACATACTGGAATTGAAAGTAATTAACCATGTCTGGGGGAAGGAGTCGAAGCTACGTATACAAAACTGTTTTAACAACTGCTTATTAAGTGGCTACCCTAACCTGTGGCATACCCTGCAGAAGAATTTAAGGAGTTAACTGCAGGAAAGCTGTGTCTTCAAACAGACAGTCAATACCAAATCTAACGAGGGACAAAGAAACTACTCCTAATAAGGAGGCAAGCTGCAGACTTGCAATATTTTGGATGAAAGAATCTAAAAAATTATCAATGATGTCAGACCAGAGACCTGAAAGAAGAGAAACTGTATAAGAATTAAACACCAGAACTCTTCAACAGCAGAACTTCAAAGAATAACACGACAAGGATCCTGAACATCAAAGTGGAGGCAACAGCCTAATGGTATTATTACTGGACTGTTAATCCAGAGACCCAGGTTCAAATCCTGCCATGGCAGATGGTTGAATTTGAATTCAATAAAATATCTGGAATTAAGAATCTAATGTTGACTATGAACCCACTGTCGATTGTTGGGGGAAAAACCCATCTGGTTCACTAATGTCCTTTAGGGAAGGAAACTACCATCCTTACCTGGTCTGGATGACGTATGACTCCAGACCAATAGCAATGTGGTTGACTCTAAACTGCCCTCTGGGCAATTAGGGCGATAAATACTGCCTAGCCAGCGATGCCCTCATCTTGTTAATGAATAAAGGAAAAAAAAAGATAGACACTGTTGGTTGGAATCATCACTAAATTCCATTATTAATCAGGCAATTGTCAAGTTGAGGGTTAATTTACTTATATGAGGAGTTATTTTGGTTGCTACATGCAATAAAGTTTAAATCATTGTTTCAGTACTTGATTGTGAAATTTCTTAATAAGTAACCAAATTAAAGGTAGCTTGTGGAGACAGATAGATTCTTAATGAGTAATGGGTTGAAGGGTTATGGTGAGTGGGCAGGAAAGTGGTGTTGAGTTTAAGATGAGATAACTATGACTGTACTGAATGGTGCAGCAGGCTTGAGGGGCTGAATTGCCTAGTCCTGCTTCTAGATCTTCTGTTCCCATGTCCTGACAGATTTTGGCCACTGGATATGCTTACTATGCTAAACAGGCTATCCAAAGCATCAATCTAAATTAAGACAATACAGTAAAAACACAACTAATTTTTAAATATCTTAAATTACTTTAAACTTTAAATTGAAAAATAACAACTACACATATTTACTAAGTTTTATCATCCAACAAAAAGTCATTCCACAGGTACCTTCACAGTCTTTATTTGTTGCAAATGGTGAATCCTCATGTGACAATGCTTGCTGACATCCTTGACTATTGGCTGTAGAACTCTGTGAGGACCTATCATCATTTCTACAACTGTGCAACGTTTCTATTGCTGACATTGGGCTTTCTGCTTGGTCACAGTATGAGGAAAAAGAGGAAGATTTCTCTTTTTGGTTTGTTTCTGACCAGAGTTCTTCAGCTGGGCTGACAAAAAGAATGTTTTCATTGCCCAACTCTGGTTTTGTTCCTTCTCCATTATGTTTAATTAATCTTGATCTCTGGCAATCTTGCTTGGAAAACTTAGCCTTTGACTTAATCAAAGTCTTATCTGGTTTTGTTTGACTTGAATACCGACTTTGAAATGTTTTCTTGCACTTTTTCTTTGCAGAATGTGTTCTGGAAGTATGGTATAATTTATTAAGGTTTTCATAATAGGCACCATGAAGTTCCTCATCAGAAACACTCAAATAGTTTCCATCATCAGGATCTTGAGATGTAACAATCATTCGCTTTTGCAAGGTATTATTTCCAAATCCTGTCGGTGTTGGCTTTGCACAAATTATTTCTGATAGATCAACTTGCACTTTTTGTTCTTCCTTCTGATTATTAACAATAGCACCTGCAATTATTTTGACATACCCATGTTCTTCACCTTGCTGAATATGGTTTTTTGCTTCCTCCGTCAATTGTTCTGAACAGGACACATCATTACCAACGTCTCTTGCATTTTTTGGTAAGATTTCTTCACAATCTGCATAAGGATCTGGACGTGGCAAAAACGCAGAACCCATATTTTGTTTCAGATAAACACTGAAATCTTCTTGCACAATCATGGGAGATGAAGGTACATTTGCTTCTATTGTTGCTGGACCTAGAGACAGTCCCACAATTGTCATTGGTTTATAGGTTAAATCAGCCAGTTTCTGGTTTGTTGGCCAAGTTGAAGAACCCACAGTCTTCATAGATTTTGGTCTATAGCTGGGTGAGGCTATGGGATACTCTACCTCAAGGCAATCATCACCCCACTTGCTCTTCAAATTTTGTTTTCTTAATCTTCTGTAAGGGGTATTTAGTTTCAGCAAACTTTTACTTGTGGCTGAGTAAGAACATTTATAGACTGATTGCATTTCCAAAGATTGCTTTGTCACATCAGCATTCATTTCATCTTTAGTTTCCAATTTTGGACTGACTGAAAATTCTTCCAAACTATCAACACAGCTACTTACTGTGTCATTTTCAGAGTTTGCCAAAGAGATTGTGCATGCACATGACTTTTGTTCAGAGGATAAAATTGTGTTGATTTTGCTCAGTTCGCATCCACTGAAACCTGTGGTACTCCCTCCTCCAGTCTGTAACTGTGGCATGATATCATTTCCTGGTGGAACGGGAGGTATAAAACTATTCAAAGATGCCCGAATAATATTGGGAATGCCCTGTCTCTGACTTATGATCCTGCTGCTTGTGTTTATTTCCAATGTTTTCTTGAATTCCTCACTTAGGAAAATTAGCTCGTTTATGGAAACAGAAATATCAAAATCAGGACTCTGGCTAAAATGGGATCGAACTAGTTTTGGAGGCGATGGAATGAACTTATCTATTGATTGTTGGATATGTAATGGTATGCCCCACTGGTACTCAAAATTTTTTGTTATAATATGCCATTCCAGGATTTCAATAATTTCCGTGGACTGAAAGGCTAATTCCATACCTTTATGCTCTATTTTAGCTCCACTTGGTTTGATTACTGGAAGCAAAGGTGGTGCTTTAGGAATCATCATTTCCATTGACTCGTCAAATATTGTTGCAACACCCCAAAGGTAATTAATCTGCTTGTGTTTTAAATTCATATCCAGGCGATGAACAATATCTTGTTCAGCAAACAAAATGTATGGTAACCTTGTTTTCCTGAATCCTTTAATGTGTGTTCTCAGCTTTGGTAATGATTTCTTCAATGCTGGAGGATAGGTTTGTTTGTACAAATCCATTACCAGTTCTGGAAGGCAGTCCAGTTTAATAGACAGGCTTTGTTTTATCAAACACATATTTAGTTTATTGCTGCATTCTGATCTAAGTTCAGCCAGAGTAGACATCCTTCTTTCTTTCTTTTTCACTTTGACACTCTCCTTTAAACTTCCATAGTGTAAAGTACTCTTTTGTTCTTTGGTCAGAAGAGATGCATGCTGAGAGGAAATCATTTTATAATCATTTGATAACCCTACGGTTCTGCATCTTACTCCACAATTTCTCTTAACTTTAATTTGTTGTACAAAGTCCTGTATTGGTGGAGGGGGTGTCATAAATTCATTTAAAGATGATTGAATCAGCTGTGGAAGGCCCCATCTGTGATTTACAATCCTTTTCTTTACATTAATTTCTAGTGCCTTTTGGTGCTCATCACTTATAAACTCTAACTCAGTTAGAGCAATAACTATTTGAACACCAGGCTGTGGATTGAGTTGGGTTACAATCAGTTTTGGAGCAGGTGGAATAAATGCTTTGGTTGATTTCTGAACATGTGATGGCAATCCCCAAGTATGCTGAAGTTTTTTCTGCAAAATATGCCATTCTAGAAACTCTTTAACTCCGTCAGAAAAAGCAGTTGTTGGCTGTGGTGCATGCTCTATTTGAACTCCATTAGGTTTAATTGATGGAGGTAAAGGTGGTCCTTTGGGAATCATCATTTCCATCGACTTATCATACAGTGTTTCAAATCCGCAAAGGCATGAAAGTTGCCTGTGTTTCAAGTTCATCTCTATCAGATCAATATCATCTTGTTTGATGAAGGAAATATACCGTACTCTTGGTTTTTTAAATCCCCTACCTGGTGCAACAAGCTTTGGTAAAGGTCTCTTTGATGCTACTGGATAAGTACGTTTGTACAAATCTTTTACCAGTTCAGGCAAACAATCAATTTTAATTTCCAGACACTGCCTTATCAAGCTGATATGGAGGTTTTCCTTGTATTGCGATCTAAGGATAACATTAGTAGCTATCTCTTTTACTTTGTTTAAGTTCATCTCATCTGTCTCATACTGGGAAAACAATTTTCCTCCTTTGAGTCGCAGGTTTGTACTCTGAGAAAATATTTTATAGCTCCTTCCAAGGTTGTTATTATTGAGCACTGTGCTGCTTTCTTTACAATGTGCTGATGGTTGCATGAAATCATTATCATCGGGAGTTGGAGCCATAAACTGCATTAGAGATGATTGAATAATTTTAGGAAGACCCCATTTACGATTTATAATCCTTTTCTTTATATTTCGATTCAGTGTTTGTCTGTGGTCTTCAGTAAGAAATGCCAGCTCAGAAGGAGCAACAACTACTGCAAAATCAGGCTGGGAATTTACCTGGATTGGAACAAATTTTGGAGCAGAAGGAATGAATAATTCTAGTGATCTTTGAATATGTACTGGCAGACCCCAACTGTACTGAAGTTTTTTCTGTGTTATGTGCAATTCTAGCCTGTCTCTTACTTTATTTTTAATGAAATTATTTTCCATACCAACAGGTTCTATTTGAGCCTCACTAGCTTTGATTAGTGGAGGCAATGGTGGTCCCACTGGAATCATCATTTCCAACGATTCTTCATAGAGAGTTGAAATTCCCCATTCATGGGTAATTTGTTTTTGCATTAAATTCAACTCCAAACGATCAACTGCTTCTTGTTCAATAAAAGGCAGATATGATGACTTTTGTTTTTTAAAGCCTTTGCCAGGTAAAATGGTCTTTGGTAAAATCTTCTTTGGTACCTTAGCATAGGTACTACTGTAGGCATCTGTTACCAGTTTAGGCAGATTTTCCATTTTAATTTCTAAACATTGCTTTATTAAGGAGAATTCTATAACAGCTCCCCTTGTAACCATTTGATTATCAGAAAAGAATATCTCAACATTTTTATCCATTTTTATGATTCTTTGTTGCTTTGTTAAAGACAATTTTTTTCTTAATCGAATAATATTGCCTGAAGAAGTAGGCACTATGAAAATGGGCATTGTTTGATGTTGTGACTCCAGTATGAAATCTTCTGCTTGTGGGGCAACAGGTATGAAACTGTTTAAAGATGACTGCACTACCTTTGGAAGACCCCATCTGCAATTTATAATTCTTTTCCTTGTATTCAATTCCAATAATTTCCGGTGTCCATCACTAAGGAAAGGCAGCTCAGCCGGCACACAGATTGTCACAAAGAGAAACTTGGGCTTCACATGGAATGGAATTAGTTTTGGAGCAGGGGAAATAAAATTTTCTTGTGATCTTTGAACATGCAGTGGAAAGCCCCAGTTATGCTGAAGTTTCTTCTGTGCTATGTGCCATTCTAGTCTGTCCTTAATTTTATTATCCAGGAAAGTTGCTTCTTCACCCACAAATTCTATTTGAGTTCCACTTGCCTTGATTGCTGGAGGCTCAGGCGGTACTTCAGGAATCATCATTGCTACTGATTCTTCATATTGGGTTGGAAATCCCCACAGATGGGTAAGCTGTTTGTGTTTTAAGTTCAGTTCTAACAGGTCAACAGCATCCTGTTCAATAAAAGGTAGATACAATAATCTTGGCTTTTTAAATCCTTTGCATGGTGCAACTGGCTTTGAAAGAGGCTTTTTTGACTTTGGAGGATAGGTAGCCTTATACATCTCCTTCACTATTTCTGGAAAACAACTGTTTTTAATTTCAAGACTGTGTTTTAGCAAACATATTTCTAGCTTGTCTTTATTTTCTTGGTTGAGTTTAGCAGAAAGACATAGCTCTGCTGCCCTGTAAGGTTTTGGATTAGTGTTGCCTTTTTGACTTTGTTTTAAAGGTTGTTTAGCTTTCTTAGACTGTAAAAATATGTTCATTGAAGTGCCTACTTTTCTATTTCTCACTTGAATATCAGTGGAAGATATTTTGTTTTTTTCCACCGCTTCAGGCAGCTGTGCAATAGAAGCCATAAAACTATTTAATGAATACTGAACAGCTTTAGGAAGACCCCATCTGTAATTTATGATTCTTTTTCTTGTATTAAGCTCCAGTTTTTTCTTATGTTCTGAATTCAAGAAGACCAATTCAGGTGAAACAAAAACGAGGGAAAAACCAGGCTGTGGTCTTAGATTTGAAGGAATTAGCTTTGGAGCAGGTGGAATAAATGCTTCTTGGGATTTCTGAATGAGTAATGGTAATCCCCAGTTGTGTTGAAGTTTCTTCTGTGTGATATGCCATTCTAGTCTACTTCTAACTTCATCTTCAATGAAATGTGTTTCCATTTGCACAGGGCATATTACAGCATTTTTTGCCTTAATGACTGGAGGCACAGATGGTCCTTTAGACATCATTATTTCTACCGATTCTTCATATAGATTTGAAAATTTACAGAGATGGGCAATCAGCTTATGCTTTAAATTCAACTCTAATTGATTAACAGCATCTTTTTCAATAAATGGTAAACAATGTGGCCTTGATTTTTTAAATCCTTTACCAGTTACAATTAGCTTTGGCAAAGGCTTCTTTGATTGTGGGGGATAGGTGCTTTTGGAAAACTCCCTCACCATTTCAGGTAAGCATCCAGTCTTAATCTCAAGACTCAGCTTTGTTAAACAAATCTCAAGTTTGTATTTCAATTCTGGTTGGAAGCTAGCAAGAAATAAATCCTTATCTGTATTCTTCATTTTCTTGCTTCTGCTAGTCTTTTCATATTGTAATGCTGATAATTTCCCCCTTCTGATTGATGTAAATGTGTTGCGAAGTACCATTTTATTTTCTTTATGGTCAATGTTGCTGGAAACATCTGGGGCAGTACTCATGAACTTATTCAAAGATAACTGAATAAGCTTAGGAAGACCCCATTTGTAATTTATTATCTTTTTCTTTGTATTCATCTCCAATATTCTCTTATGCTCATCACGAAGAAAAGGCAGCTCAGTTGGAGTAACAACAACTGAAAACGTAGGCTGCTGGTTTAGCCAGGATGAAATTAGTTTTGGAGCAAACGGTATAAATGCTTCTTCTGATCTCTGAACATCTAATGGTATGCCCCAGGTTTTCTGAAGTTTTCGCCGTATAACATAGTCTTCAAAGTTCTCTCTCACTTTATTATCAAGGAAAGGTGTTTCCCTACCCACGTGTTCTATTGTAGCTCCACTTGACTTGATTACTGGAGGCAGGGGAGGCCCTTTCGCGGTCATCATTTCCACTGATTCATCATTTGGGGTTGCAAGTCCCCAGTTATGGAAAATAAGTTTATGCTTCAGGTTCAGCTCCAAACGATCCACTGCATCCTGCTCAATAAATGCTATGTATAATGAACGTGACTTTTTACATCCTTCACCACGTGCAATAATCTTTCTTAATGGCTTCTTTGACACAGAAGGGTAACTTGCCTTATAAGATTCTTTCACTATTTCTGGCAAACAATGTAAGTTAATTTCTAGATGCAACTTTCTTAAGCACATATCCAGCTTATCTGCATTCTCTTGTTTGAAGGCAGATAAAACGGCCATCTCAGACGCTTTGCTCAGTTTTGCATCTTTACAATCTTTTTTATACTGTAAAGACGTCATTGCCCTTTTGTGCATTTGCAGAGGAATTCTAGTCTTTTTTCTTGTGTCAGTTATGGTGGGTCCTGTCTTTTTGGCTTCTATTATTTCTGACTGTTGCAAAAGATCTTTTCTTAATGGAGAAGGAGTCATGAAGTTTCTTAATGAAGACTGAATAAGTATGGGAAGACCCCATTTATGATTGATTATCTTTTTCTTTGTATTATGTTCTAATAACCTCCGATGTCCTTTGCTTAAAAATGCCAGTTCAGTTGGAGCAACAACTACACTAAGGCTAAGCTGTGGATTCAGCTGGGATGGAATCAGTTTTGGAGCAGGTGGAATAAATGTTTCTGCCGACATTTGAATATGCTGTGGTAAGCTCCAATTCTGTTGCAGTTTTTTATGTGTAATGTGCCATTCTATTTTGTCCCTGATATCACATTCAATAAAAGTACTTTTCATACCCACAGGTTCTACTTTAGCTCCACTTGCTTTGATGGCAGGAGGCACAGGTGGTCCTTTTGGAATCATCATTTCCATGGATTCATCATATAGAGTTTCAAGTCTCCAAAGATGGATAATCTGTCTGTGTTTTAAGTTCAACTCTAAGTGGTCAATGGCACCTTGTTCAACAAATGGTAGGCACCATGGTCTTTGTTTTTTACATCCTTCACTGGAAACACTGAGCTTTGGTAATGCTTTCTTTGATGCTGTAGGATAAGCACGTTTATACGATTCTTGTACGATGTCAGGTAAATAGTATGTTTTAATATCAAGCACCTGCTTTAACAAACACATATTTATTTCATCTTTGCATTCCGGTTTGAGGTTCACAAAATCTGGAAATGCACTTATATTCTTCAAGTTTGCTGTTTTATGTACGCTTTGGCAATGCAATGAAGGGAATTTTTCTTTTTTGCGTCTTATTATCATTCTGGAATTGGCATCAATGTGGTTAAGGGTCTTGCTTCCTTTCATGCTTTTGGACTGTTGTATGTGACCTTGCAGTGATGGAATTGGAGCAATGAAGTCCCTGATAGATGACTGAATCAGGGTTGGCAGACCCCATTTTTTATTTATGATCTTTTTCTTTGTATTCAGTTCCAATCTACTTCTATCTTCAGCACTTATGAAAAGTAACTCAGCTATTGTAACAACTACTACATCAACATGACATGGATTTAGCATGGAGGGAACAAGTTTTGGAGCAGTTGGGATAAATGTATCAGTTGATTTCTGAATATGCACAGGCAATCCCCAATTACTCTCTAGTTTTTTCCTTATAATATGTCGTTCCAATTTGTCTCTAACATCATTGTCAATAAAAATCATTTCCATGCCTACAGGCTCAATTTGAACTCCGCTTGACTCAAGGACTGGAAACACATTTGGTCCTTTAGGAATCAGCATTTCAACAGACATTTCATATGGTGTCTCTAGTGACCAGAGATGCATAATCTGTTTGTGCTTTAAGTTCAACTCTAAACGATCAACCGACTCCTGTTCAATAAATGATATATACATTGACCTTGACCTTTTGAATCCTTCACCAGGTGCAATTAGCTTTGGAAGAGGTTTCTTTACTTGTGCAGGATAGGTATTTCTGTACAACTCTTTTACTAGTTTGGGCATATTGTGCATTTTAATTTGTAGGCTTTGCTTTGTTAAGCAAAAAGATAGTCCAACCTTATGTTCTTGTTCGAGAACTATTTTAAAGTCAGCCATCTGATTTGATGTTTTACTTTCTCTGTTATATCGTGACAATGAAATATTTTTTCCACCATGCAACGGAAATGTGTCTGAAGAAGACACTTCACTGTTAACTTTTTCAATGGGTGGGTTACTCAATATTTCCTGATCTTTAATTATTTCAGTTTGTCCAGTGAAATCCTTCATTGGTGGAACAGGAACCATAAAATTGCTTAAAGAAGACAGAATGAGCTTAGGAAGGCCTAATTTCCGATTTACAACTCTCTTCTTTAGACTAAACTCCAATATTCTTTTATGTTCTTTGTTAATGAATGGCAACTCAGGTGGAGCAAACACAAACACAAAATCAGGTTGGGGATTTAAGGCAGATAAGACTAATTTTGGAGCAGGTGGAATTAATGCTTCTTGTGACCTCTGAATATTAAATGGTAAACCCCACCTTTGCTGAAGCATTTTCCGTGTAACGTGACTTTCAAGATCTTTTCGAATTTCACCATCACAGAAATTAATTTCCACACCTACAGGCTCTATCTGAGCTCCACTTGTCTTGATTGGTGGCGGCACTGGAGGAGCTTTAGGTATCATCATTTCCATCGATTCGTCATACAGAGTTTTAATTCCCCATAAATTGTCAATCTGTTTGTGTTTTAAGTTAAGTTCTAAATTGTCTACAATATTCTGTTCAATAAAAGACATATACAATGCTTTTGGCTTTTTCAATCCATTTCGGGGGATAATATTAAGTGGCGCTACTGATTTTTTTGATGTTGAATAATAAGTGGTCTTATAGTATGACTTCACCATTTCTGGCAAGTAGTCCATACAAATTTCTAGACGTTGCTTTATTAAGCATATTTCTATTTTACTTTTATCTTCTGGTTTGAGCTCACCTATTTTGGTTGTTTTTGAACTCCTTCTACTTTTTCGGAATTGTGCTGATGACAAATCATCCCTTTGTGCTTTTACAAATGCTTTCTGTTGGAAACTAGTTTTATAATTCTCCGTTTCAATGTTACTGGCCTTTGATTTCTTTCTTGTTACAGTTTTTGAAAGTATTAAGTTATCATTCATTAACGGGGCAGGAGCCATGAAATTTTGTAAAGATAATTGAATAAAGTTAGGGAGACCCCATCTCTGATTGATGATCTTTTTTCTGATAGTCAACTCCAATGTTTTATTAATTTCAACATCTAAAAACGGCAATTCATTCAGAGTAACGACCACAATGGAATCAGCTTGTGGGTTTAGCTGAGATGGAACCAACTTTGGAGCAACTGGAATGAATGCCTCTAATGACTTCTGATAATGTGATGGTATGCCCCAACTGTACTGAAGTTTCTTTTGAGTAACATGCCATTCTAATTTACCTCTGACTTCTTTGCTAATAAAAGTGGTTCCCATTGGCACAGGCACTATTTGGGCTTTATTTCCTTTCAGTGCTGGAAGCACGGGTGGAGCTTTGGGAATCATCATTTCTAATGACTCTTCTTGCAGAGTTTGAAATCCCCAGAGGTGGGAAATGTGTTTGATCTTCAAGTTCATTTCCAGGTGATCAACAGCATCCTGCTCAACAAATGGAATGTACAATGGTCTTGCTTTTCTAAAACCTTCACCTGGTGCCAAAAGTTTTGGTAAAGTTTTTTTTTGTGCTGGAGGATATGTATTTTTGTAGCATTCCTGTACAATTGCTGGCAAACTACCCTGTTTTATTTCTAGGCATTGCATTGTTAAACACATATCTAACTGAACTTTGTGTTTTGAGTTTAGACCAGCAAGTATCGAATGCTTTCCTTTTCTCTTTCTCTTCATCAATCTGATGGCTTGTTCAGAGAATG